TAGCTAATTGTCCAGCTTTACTTGTAATAAGATTTTTCAGCAGGAAGTGAAATCAATTGAAGTTATCTCACGGCCGTCATATTTGCTTACCAGTTTGCTGGCTGCATGTGGAATATTCGTATGCGATTCACAATGAACAAAGCATTCATGACCTTATTGATTTGTCACTTAAACACAATAAAGCGAAAATGACAGTGAACAAATGATTACAAAACATCTAACTATAGTGAAAGCTAACATAGGAACGACTAAAAGTAAAATCTACGCGTTCGTGTTACAAAGTTTTGTGTCAAAATACTGCTGAAGCACAAAGATATCAAACTGTGACGACTGGTAAGGTTTCGCCCCGATAGGAATACATCACCGAGAGAAAGGAATGAATTTAGATGAACTTCGTATTATGAACGATTATTGGAAATAAAAGATTGTTACCACAGGAGAAGTTCGCCTACAATTCAAATAAACTGTTTAACAATTACTACGGAGGGATCTGCGGATTGAGTTTCAACGGTCTTCTCAGTGTTATTCTGGCAAAAACTTGGTACGTCTGCAAGAAACTAGCTGTAATCTCCCTACTGAGTTAATAAATTTCCTTTCCTTCCGGCTATTTACATATTCGTACGTCTTCGCATTGTTTCATCGCAGATTTGTGGTGGCATTGGACCATAACCACACAATTCTCAAAGCTGAATACGAGATTACTCGGAAAATGGATATTCAAGATTTAACGCGAAGAAATACCTAACGATGGATAACGCGGGAACAAGGGGTTGAATTAATCGGAGTTGGTCGAATGGCAAGGATTGGCCTTGCAGGCGTGGTCCTAGTTGAATGTTATCTTATAGCTTTTATTCATATTAAATATATTGTTCTATCTCTAGCCTAAACTTATTCTACATCATGTATTGGTGATCGTTACGATACGATAAGTTAGTGTAGACGATGGTATGACTTCTACGTAAGATCTTATAGATTAGGCAGTTATATCATGACAAGTCTACAATTTTAGGATCATGTATATTATTAGCGCAGTACTAATATCATAGTAGACCATAATTCTATAGATTCACTTAAATTTATCTGAAAATCTTATGCGCTAAAACTCTCCTTACTCCCGAAACTCTTTGAACATTAGTTTTTCTCGAGAATTCGAAATGAACCCATACATAAAGACGTTATAGTGAAGCAGTCAATGGTACTGTCACTGATTGGTATACTTTTGCCTGTACCATGAACAATTGAGCTATATGTATATCAATGTGATCTGTAAGCATTGATAGCCATCATATTAGGGACCTTTTATTACATCACCTGGTCAGGTAAGGATTATACTTGTGATTGGTGATCAGAGCCATGTAAGCAGATAAGTAGATTTAAATCAAAATTAAAAAGTCAATAACATTTATTGCAAAAATAAAGGTGAAGTTGGAAAGTGTGAGTAACAAAAAACCTATTCACAAAATAATTTTTTTAACCATCTTCACAAGAAGGCAATTAGGAGACGATAGAGGCAAACGAATGACTTATCATGCTATGTTAAAATCGGGATATGCTTCAGGGTGATGTCAAATGCCCTGGTATGGCCGAAAGTGGAGTAGGCACGCACTCCCTCTCGAAACGCCCTCACACGGCCACGCGTATACAGCCTCTGGTTGCATTAAGTATAAAACCGAGATATTTTCTAGGCTGGCTACCATTTAACCGAAAATTATAGATGAGCATTGGTTGCAATTGCATGACACCATGAAACGCCGAGTAAAGCCGCTTGCGGCTGTGCGAAACGTCCCGCTTATAAGCACTGGGTTTCTTCAGGCTCCTTACAACTGGTCGGAGCCCGTCGGTCTACTCCAGGTGGCCGTGTGTCTGACCACAAACGACGACTGTTACCTAATGAAATCGGGCAAAGCTTGCGTTAGGTCCGAGAAGCCTGGTGATCGAAGCGTGCTAATGAGCTGGAAGCAGCAGCTGCATCTGGTAACTGCCGGAAGCTCTCCCAACTCATCCAAGGCACTGGCAGCAAGAAGTCTGGTGTGAGTGAAACAATCTGCGAGGATGATGGGATGCCAATCACTAACATCCATCGACGTCTTGGACGATGGGCAGAATTTTTCGAAGGGCAGTTCAACTGGCCTGCTGCTCCGGCAACATCGGTCAGACTGTCCTGCCCTCCATGGCCGGTGACGACTGATCCACCAAATGAGGAGGAAGTCCACAAGGAACTCCAACTCTTGAAGCGTTACAAATCACCTGGCCCAGATGACTTACCTTCGGCTCTTTTTAAACATGGTGGTGACTTTTTGACTAAGGAATTGACGACGTTGTTTACAAAGGTTTGGGATCTAGAGAGTGTACCAACGTCATGGAATGAGTCGATAGTTGTCCCTATTTTTAAAAAGGGTTCACGTCGTTCTTGTAACAACTATCGGGGGATAAGTTTACTTCCGATTGCGTCCAAGCTATTGGCTTCCGTCATTCTTCGTAGGTTGTTCAAAACCCGAGAAAGATTGACTCGCGAGGAGCAGGCTGGGTTTCGTTCTGGTCGAGGATGTATTGATCATATCTTCACCCTCCGCCAAATGTTAAAACACCGCCATACTTATCAAAGGCCAACAATCGTAGTGTTTCTTGACATCAGGGCTGCCTTCGATTCGTTGGACAGGACTGTTCTCTGGGATTGTCTATTGAAGAAGGGTGTGCCTGAGAAGTTTATTAACATCCTAAAAGCCCTATATAAAAACACCTTCCAAGTGCAAAGTACTTCTACAAGACTGGCAGGATTCCAATCCTGTACTCACCCTGGATGGTGAGTAGATAGACGTAGTCGAGAAGTTCGTGTATCTGGGTAGCTGCATAAGTGTCGGTGGGGGTTTGAGTGATGAGATTAATGCATGTATAGTGAAAGCCAGAGCGGCTTATGCCAATCTGGGCCATCTTTGGCGCCTTCGTGATTGATGACGTCCACTGGCAACACCATGTTAGTAATGCAGAGGTTCGGTATCGTGTGTTCGGGCACAGAGACGATAATGCAATTGGTGTCACCATCTTGAAACACCGACGTCGGTGGCTTGGACATGTTCTATGAGTGTCGTCCCAGAGAATTCGACGTCGAGCATTATTCGCCGACTCTGGGACTGGTTGGAAAAGCAGAGAGGTGGTCAGTGTATGACATGGTGTCGTGGTACGGAAGAAAACTACAAGAAACCCATAGCATACTGATTTTCTAACCGAGTCATCAATACTTGGAACCTGTTACCAGAATCAGTGATGTCTGCACCTTCAGCTGACTCATTCAGTAGAAGACTCTACACACATAGAAGCATACTGGAAGAGGAATAACATAGGCTTTAGGCCTTCCATCCTTACTACACAAATCTGAAATTTGATTTGAATTTATTTTTAGTTCTCAACACTAATTTCTAACCTTATTTAAATATTTACGTCACTTATTGTTTGGTTCCTAATTAGATCGGCAATATAATCTAGTTACATGGGTTTGGTTATTTTAACAAGCTTCATGACATTCTATCAAAACCAACACATTGGTTTTATACTGAGCCAATGGAGCGATTTTCGAGGACTTCTATATCGTGACCTTGGGGGCTTGTATAAAATGGTTGGCGATGGGAATGATTTATTTTTGTCCATCCAGGTTTGCGATGTGCACATAAGTCCTGAATAATAGAACAGACTTCTTGAAAACTTATGAGACCTATGCGTCATCATCTATTTACAGGTGACGACAAAAATGCTCGGTACCGAGGTCCTGGGAGTTCTCGGTCATTTAAAAAACCAGTCCACAACAAACTGGAAATTCTTTCAATGTCACAAATTCCACCAGAATTTCATGAAGTTGGAATTTTATCAGGTTATCGCAAGCCGTCCGCGTCACTTTCATCAGGTGTCTGGTCTGTTTTCCAAATGCACAACGAAACCTTGAATATATGGACGCAAATTATACCAACCATTTATTTTGTTGTTGAACTAGTCTTGAATTTTTTCCACGTTGGCGAGCGTTTTCTTCTTATATATCTAATTACCGCCGTTACGTTCCTGTTCACAAGTTCTTGCGCTCACACATTTAGTTGTTTGTCACCTAGAGCTCGACACATATGTTTCTTTCTTGACTATATTGGGATATCACTGTATTCTTATGGCTCCACTGTTTGCTACTATGCGTTTGCCCTGCCAGTCGAGTTTCTGCGTCCTTCACCTTTCTTTATTCTCAATCTTAGTGATATATTCTTGTTTATCTCAGCATTGTTTTGTATCTGTGGTACATACTTATCATGTCGGACCAGATTTTGGAAACCTTCAATTTTCCGTAACATCATTAGAATGGGAGCATTTGGGATTATTTTGTTTTACGTCGGAACTCCGATTCTGTGGCGTTCATATACCTGTAAGTACATGGCAAGTGAATATGAGTCTTCTGAATGCAGTTCACTTTATTATTGGAATTTGCATTTCATGTCAATGTTTTCTGCAGGATTTTTGTTTGTGTCACACTTTCCTGAAAGGCTTTTTCCAGGAAGGTTCGATGTTTTTGGTCATAGCCATCAAATATTTCACATATTAAGTGCCTTCGGTTCTATTACACAATATTATGCACTTAGGATTGATCTCCAGGAGCGTAACGCCAAATTAAGACAAATGTCGCATGCACCTTCAATTCCCTTGTCTCTGTTTTGCCTCGGTCTGGTCGCATTTTGTAACTTCATTATTTTCCTAAGAGTTTACAAACGTCTTGGTATCGTCATAGGATGTAAAAAGTTGTAATTATCTTTATGTAGCTGCTTTGTGTTATACTTTTCAGACTTCGTTATCTCAGCTTTTTCACCGTTTCCCATATTTTCATTCTTGACCGATTTGTTTGGTTATGAGAGATTCATTGTTTTCCAGCACATAAACGTCCCACAGCTGCTTTTTGCTCTTGTTACTTAAACTGTTGTCTTTTTAGATTAAAATAGCTTATTTCACCGACCAAACCACATGTACATTGCAAATGATAATTATTTTCAGATAAATTTCCTGTTTTCAATAATTTTCGGTTGGACGTAAGATATTGTTTTAAAGTGTGATTGTTGATGTCTTGATGTATTAGGTTAGCCCAGCTCAAACACGTTTTTCACTGCTTCTCTTAACGCAGTTCAATTTAGCTGGTCCTACTAAACAGACCGTCTGAAGTTACCCTCCCATTTCCTCACTAAATATGTGGATAGATTCGAGTCGATTACTTCCATCTGAAGTTTTTACTGATAATGTTATCTAGAAAGACTGTTAAAGCTTCGCAGTTAAACCCCACTACTTAAAAGATTCAACTCTGTCAAAGTCAAAAGTAAATTCACTTAATTTTAGTGCAATAACTCTACAGAACATCCTTATCGTTTCACAGGTGACTTATTCTAAACGTAAATTGTTGATTTTCCTATAAATGTTACTAAACATTATCATTGCTATTATGCCTATTGTTCACTTAATACACAACAGATTGGTATCAGAAAATGCTTTACCGGATGTCATTCAGTTGTTCGCTTAGAATATGAAGTTTTATAAACCAATTATTTAAAATCGCATGACTCAGTTCTCTTCAAGGAATTGAGTCGGAGTCCATTACTTCCGTACATTTATTGATGCTCAGTTATTGAAATCTTCATGAAACTTCCTTAAACATTGTATCATACGTGTACGTATCTCGTCAAAAAGCGTGCTTCTAGTTTATAACAAAATCACTGCTATTTTTAGTCTTCATTCCTACTGTTGTAGTAAGTTTTTAGTCAGCTATGAGAAAATTATAGAACACCATGTTGTTGATTAGTGAACTAGCACTCTTTCGCTAGAGCATTCAACAATCTCACATCAATGTTTCCTTGTCTAAGTGAGAGCATTTGGTCAGAACTTGTGCTACATATGGCACGGTTTGAACAGTTGTAAGTAATAATTGTGTTGCATATCTTAGTTTTACCTTACGAGATTCCATGCTGTATGGATATCCAATGACTGAGCACCACTGTAGCATTGTCCCGTATTTCTTGAATGTCTGCACTGAAAATAATGAACCTCTAAGCCCAATATATAGATCTCTATTCGGCAAATGAATCGCGTTTAAAATTTGAGTTGTCTGAGTTTTTGATGAATTTGTGGAATGGTTTTGGCAGAACTAAACTGTGCGCTTTATTTCCTAGTCAGTACCCAGTTTCTTTCTGATTAATACAAATGCGGCGACTGAAAAATGATGTAAAAATGTTACACAGATTAAAAAGCAGTTGATAAAGGTCCATTCTAATATCTTTTACCATATCAATCTTTCAAAGCGTCACATATTAGTTATGATTGCACTCAGTAAATAAATGCTGAGCTATCTATTTTCAGTCTTAAAAATGTTCTGTAGTCACTTATTTTGCCAATAGATGCTAGTTTCCTGTAATTTTGCCACTGTGAAACATAGATAAGCCTTTTTTTACCATTTTGATGTATCATGACTAACAGTTTTTTTCTGTATCTTTCTGCAGTTGATTATTATTAAATCTGTTGTGCACACTTTGATAAAAGAAAAGAATGTATGGGTGGGGTCCTAACTACATGTATTGTAGTCAGTTGCAATTGTACAGTTGGACCCTTTTTCTTACCTTATGTTCAGTCGTGATTATTTTACTCCATTTTTTTCGATTTGGTTACAGTTATCTCTGTAACTTTTTGGTCGTCATCCTTTTCATATGATTTCCTCTCCTGATGGTCGCCTTGTCGTTTTGGTACGATATGACAAAAGCGATTGAAACATTTATACCAGATTCTTTATTATTTTCTTACAAACATTCTGAATTTGATATTTCTACACAATGAAGCCCCAATTGATACGCTTTTTTAATTCTGAACTAGGTGCCATCGTAAGTGTAAAATATGAGCTGCTAGTTGTTATCTTAAAAAAATGCCCCGTACCGCCAAAATTGGTTTCACTAAATAAAAACAGTAAATAAGCGTCGTGTTCTCAATGTCTCGACTTATATCCGACGTCGCTTGAAGTACGTTTCAAACGTGCAAGACATTTCAGCGTTCTGAAATTGGTTTGCTCTGGCAATCAGTTCAACAGCATAAACTGCCTGACTGCTTTTGAATTGTTATATCACCGTCTGCTATCTTTTACTTCGAATGGTTAAGTAAATAATAAATGCCGAAGTTTACTGTAACTTCTCTGGTCGGTTCTACTTCTCGTTTTTTAGATTCTTCTAGGGTGGATCATAAAAACGTACGTCACTGCAGAACTATATTATCTAATTTATTACTGTTTAGAGTATTTAATGCTTTATGTTATATCAACAGAGCTCTGTTAGTATTTCGTAGTTTTGTCGTCGTGATTTAACTGATGAAGTGCTTAGTATCGTTCAGTTAGTGAAATAGAGTACGAAATGGTTATATAGTTTAATACTGATGATACTCTTCCATGGTGTGGGCGACTAGGAAGTGACATGAGCCCTCATACACGTAACAGCACAAGAGATCAAGTCGGTCATATTCAAATTCTTTCTACACTTCTTCTAAGCATGTACTCCAGAATAAGCGACAGTCTTCTACCGAGCCTCTACATCGGTGGCTGATAGCGATGTGATCTATTTGGGTCCAACGTTGGGATGAATTCGGGGGTCGCCATGTCAAAAGATGTTAATCCTTGTGCCTAAAGTTAGTATTTGCTAGAAACAGGCAGTTATCTGAGCATAGCTGCAACAGACGGTCGCCATTATCTGTTCTTTGAGACACGACACCATAAGATATACTCAGGTGTCTTTCGTTTTCTCTTAGTTTACCTACTTGAGCATTGAAGTCACTATTACTACGTCAGAGCGTCTAACTCTTTTGAGGAGGTCAGAAAGCTTTCTGTAAAGCTCATCTTTTTTCCTCATCTGAGCTGCAGTCAGTGGGAGAATAGGCACAGACAACGAAGAGGCAACGACGAGTGTCCCTATCTTTCTGAGTCCTTACTGTTCCGTTTAGTCGGACAGCGCACAAACGACTGTCTACTGGTATCTGGTGTAAGATAGCTAGTTCTGCCCTAAGACTCAATGCTATACATATACCAACGAGGCCACGGGAAGGAGCATCAGGGCTTTCAGATACACAAAGCGTGAATCGAGATGGTTCTCTATTTTGATATGGTGGGGTCAAATGAATGACGCTACTCGGGTCCAGTATACACGTTTCGGAGGTGCAGTATACGTCAACAGCGCGAGATTCTGAAGTCCCAGATGAGGAAACCTGTTGTCCTATTTGGCACAGTGTTCGGACGTTAAAAGCTAGTACATGTAGTTTAGAGTGTGGTTTCAGGAGATCGGGAATAACGTTCCGCGTACTCGAATCGTTTGCATTAGTGGCGCGAGGTGATAAAGGAATGTAAGAAGGGTTAGTCGTGGAGATAAGAGAGTTATTAGGAGATGTAGGAAGGACTTGAATGTAACCAACTTGATCTCGTGTGCTGCTACGGGTATGAGGCTGATGTCACTTCCCGGTTGCCACCCCGTGGAAGGGTATTTCTTGAGGAACCTGAAAAAGAAGTTGGATTAGTGTTGGTCTTAACGACCTGAGAGTGTGACCGCAGAGCCCAAAGGACAACTGCTTGAGGCCGGTCGCGCAAGGTCTTTTCGTGGAAGGTTTTTGATGTGTTAGCTCCGTTCTTCAAAGGGCCTTACCGCCGGAGATGGAAATCCGTGAGGTAAGTTGAGGTGTGACATTTTTTGGGTCAACCTTTTCTAACCCCGTCCTTCCTTGTGAGAAGGCAGCATCGCTGCAGTTGCTAGTTGTCCGAGGGAAACACCTTACTGCTGTCATACCTTTCTACAGTAAGCAGTACGACGTCTCCCTCAGACCTTGAGTTGCTGCTTTTAGTCTTACCGTTCTCCAATCAACCTGCCTGGCATGGTAGGACCTACAGGAACATATATTTCAGTCAGTATAGCTCGGTTGCGTCATCACCATATGGACAAGTTTTACGTATGCCCAATCACCGACTGCCTCGACTAGCTATGCTTTATGATGTAAGAGTAGATTGGAAGAAAGCTAGGGCGGCCTGACCAAAAAATGGCACAAGTCCATGAAGTCACTGACAAGTGGACTGAGTCTTGTTGGTAGGTATAGACTACCTGGTTGGGATCCGCGAGGTGATGGCAACCGATAGTTAGAAACCCTGAATGACATGGCTCAAAATCGTTTGCGATCGCGCAGTTGCATCCACTTTTTGTGTTCTCCCAAATTTTTATCTTCTGAATTCTTCATGTCCCTTTTTTCCTCTTTCCAAATTTATTTCACTGAATTATACTTCTTGATTAACATCTTCAAACCCAAATCTTTCTGAATACTACCTATACTTTTACTACCTCTACCACTATGGGATTTGAATTAATAATTGTATCTCTGTGCTAATGTGGTATGGCAACTCGAACTGATGTACGTACGTACGAAGTTCTACGTTGTTTCTGACTGACTGACTACCTTCTGCACCACACTACTTGTGACAATCTGAAAACAATAAACTTTTAGTTACTGGGGGTTGTTGAGGTTATTTCCCCACTTTTTACTCGTTCACCTTCCAATGTTCTTGCTCATCATGTGCTTTTGAATTTAATTTTTAACACTAAACGCTTTCCCAACACAACCGTTATTTTAGCTTTTGAATATTCTCGTGCAAATCTAAGGCGATACTGATAGTTAGCCCGCTTAGAAATACACAGTTAATGGGTCATCACGTTTTGAAGTCAAAGTGAGGAAATAGCATCAACAAGATATCGACTTATCTGTTCGAGTAGTCTATATCCTGATACGTATATTAAATTTCTACCATGGGGCTAGTTGTTTAGTCTCATCTGATAAAATAAATCCAATCATTGTATACTATTATCTGAAACGGTTAAGTTTGATATGGTGTTATTTTTTTGAATAACGCCTAGTAAAAATAATTTTGTTGGATCTTGAATTTGGCTTTCTCAATATTATAATCCATCACTTTTCACTTCATTGCTTTGTGTAGTAATTATTTAATTCACCATGAGCAGTAGGTGATTTTTATTAAATTTCAGTAAAAACATCCTTCCTTGTTACTTTTAGCTAAGCATAAATTTTCACGCGATTATGTATAAACTTTGGTTATCGCATTTTTTAAAATCGTATGACGACGTGAAAAAGATAATAACGTGAAGAAGTGGAAGTAATTGAAATTTCTTGTTTCCATATTTATTTTCTGTTTGAAAAAGATAAAGACATATGTTGTGCGATTTTCAGTAACAGTACCTAAAATTGCATTATTTAGTTTGCTATCGTTGTTATTCTTTCTTTGTGAAATTACATTTGTCCTATTACTTTACTGCCACTTGTCTTCTTATATATATATCAGTATTGTAATGCTAAACTTCAGTAAATTAGTGGCTGATGTATTAACTGTGTTCAAATGAAGATTACTATCAATGATGATTTTAAAATGCAACGAATTGGTTGTAATGAACAGATAGATTTATTAAGTTTTTTTCTTGATTTTAGCGATACGCTTTGCGATCAGACATCTCTTTTTATTGTGTCCTGAAAGGTAGTTAACATCATCAGTCCTCTAGCATGCCGCACAAATGACTTACAGCTTCATAGTGTCGTTCGACAAAGTTTGTATTATTACTACGTTTTATGGTGCTTTGGCTAAACTGGTCAAGGCGCTATGATTTCATTCATTTTTATCATAATCTCAAACTTAATTCACTTCTAAGCTCACTTGGTGTTGTTTGATTGTATCTTCCCATTGTTGTTTAGGACTGCAATTAATCAGCCTCTTGTTGACATATTTGCGTTCTGCATGGATTGCCTCAATACTGCCTTAAGTCACAACCTTTATAAGCAAAGATGGATAGTGACTAGGACGAAACGCGCGTCCTGGATACCACTGTTAGCTACCATCCATCTTTGCTTAATTTACTTCTGTCTAAATATATAAGGATTGTTAACTTGTACACTGCACATGTAGCGTATAGCCTCGTACATAATTGTTTAGGAGGTTGAGGGGCCATATAATATTTCGATCAGTTCCATTTGTCAGGTATCTTCTCTACAGTACCTAGTTATTCCCCGATTAGTGGCACACAATAAGTAGACTTTCCATTATCCAAGGCTCGGTTCCATATTGTGCTTACTATACTTGGAAATGTCCTTTGTTTGGAATAGATGTTTTGTCTCAGTGTTTGTTTGTATAAACATTGCTTCTAGAGTTTGAAATCGTCGTGAAAGCATCAATAAATCATTAGTACTGATTGATAATTGTTGGGTTTTTTTGTCCTCAGTTGGCAATATGTTCCTTTCAACAGGTGCAACCTTCGATTGCAACACCGACTTACACGACCTTGGCCCTGTGCCAAACCAATGACGTGTTGACCAGTACGAGCAGCCTAGAGTCAATTCTAAGTCCTTATTGGATCTGCTCACCTAGTCTTGTCCGTTTAAGTTCAGAACACAAATCTCAGTTTCCACTGTATGAACCATATATTTCAGACACACTTGGTTTACATACAAGCAAGTCAGACCGTATCACATCATAAAGTAGAAAATAACAATTATACAAGATCAAGTCAAAAGTGACTGCGAGTGTGAGAGACTGTAACTAATAAAATGGGAAAATCTAAAGAATTGTAAGTCCTATAATAATAGTCAATAGGTCAGATGGAAGCTTATAATAAAAGGAATATATATATATATATATATATATATATATATATATATATATATATATATATATATATATATAATATATAATATAGTTACTTAATAGTTATCCAGTAAGAATATATGTAATAATAAATAATTCCTATCAGTTACCACTCATTTATTCTTGGTTAGGATATAACTTTTTTTATTATGTTTTCCTGGGTAAAGTTATTTTAATGAACGTTGAAAAATTGTTAGTAATTTTGAATTCATTAAATATATATTTGGGTATTCATCAAAGTTTCCCACTCTCTTTTCAGTAATAATTTGTTATTAAACATTTTAGGATTAAGTCACATATTTTGAATAAAATATTAATAACGTTTGATTGTAGTTTCATTTGAAACTATGTAACTGTGGGTCTTCTGGATTGAATTACTGTTAACATCTCATTTTGTAAATTTCGCATACGTGTACACGCATCACTTGTTAATTATTTTTGAGATAGCTAGAAAATAAAGTACACATTACAAAGAAAACATGTGCTTTCATCTCATTTAATGATAACATTTACACTATGGTGAATCGACGAACAATCAATTCCATGTATGTATTCACTGTGTAATACTGCTTAGGTGTCTAGATTAATAATATTGTCAAAGCCATTACTAAATGTAATTTGTTTAAATTATTTTGACAATTTACTAACTTCTAAATAAAATTGAGTTATTTGGCACTTGTTATTAACGTTATATGCATACCTTTAGTTACGCCGACGATCTTAGTATATGTGTGTAATATATCATTTATTATTATTATTACCATTATTATTATTAGTATTATTATTACTATTATGTGTATTACCACTTACTTTACAATAGGATTACAACTTTTCCATTGTTTCTTAATGTTGATTCATCGAAAATTTAATTTACCAACATCATTGTACAACAATTATCGCTTATATTTCAAATATATTGTCTCAAATCTACATAAACAAGATTTTCTAAATATTCAATGCAGATCTAGTCATTCAGCTAAGGAAAAGGATGCTCACTCAATAGTATCATTGGATAAGACAAAATGTAATGAGAATAAAGCGATATGTAAAAATGTTAAATTAATTGGATGGGTTCAATCTGTTAGAAAGCATAAATCTTGCGTATTTTGCAATATATCAGATGGTTCTTCACCTTATGATTTGCAAGTAAGGTATAATTTCTTTATCTTTCATTATCTTTCACTCAAAACTTTCTTGTCTCATATTATCCGGTTGTTAACTTTTTTGTCTAATTGGTATGCATCATAACTTATGTCAGATAACAACGTAAAGCCAAGTTTCAGATACTTGGTTCTCACTAATGATGTATTCGATTTTCAGTTGTACAGACATGTGTTCAAACTCCATCTCACACACCAAAGTTTGGATACTTGTTTGCCAAGTGCGGATTTGCAAAATCATCTATGGTCTGCGTCATTCAGATTATGGCTGGTGTTATTATCTTGTTGCACAAAATAACGCAGGTGAAGCGTGGTTAGAAAATGTAAACCGCCAAGTGGGAGTTAATTGCACTAATTACTGAGCCATTACTTCAATAGTGTGTATAACATGATCCTATCTTTGTTAGTACCAACTCTCACATAATATCTATGGTCAAGAGACAGTTTATTAGTGTAAATGTGGTTACTGAATTTTGTAATATTTGTAGCGCTTTCTATCTACGTCATAGTTCATTTATTTCCATTTGTGTATAAATAATATAAATTCATTCGCCAGGTAGTTGAGTGAGAACCTTTTCCTTAATGTTCATTTAATCTTGACAGATTTTTATTTCAAGGTGTTCATTCGGTTTCATTCTACATATTCACTTTTCTTGTAATTATTGCCTATCTAATATTACATTTCAGGTTGTCACTTCGCCTAGTGAGATTACTGATAAGATAACCGTTGGTTGCGCTTTGTCAGTTGAAGGTGACATCTATCATATTCCAAATGTTTTAAAAACATCTCAATTGTCAATTGATAAACCTGCCGTTCAATGTTGTGGAGAATTACGTGCTAAGATTGTTAATATTTTGGATACTGAAAATCAAGCTGGAGAATTACAACTTGAAAAGTCAATTAACAATGTTTCTCTTCCTTTTAATCACAGTGTTCCTACGATAAATCAAATGATAAGTTCACTCGGTCGGCATAGTCCACGGCCTGATTTAGGAGTTTTACGCTCAGTTGAAGCATTATCTATGCGTCATCGACTACCTGAGTTTGGTGCAATGCTTAGAATGCGTGCCCATATTAAGCGAATAGTTAGAAAAGTGATGAGTTCATGTGACTACTTAGAGGTATGTTTACTGATGAATTAATGATAATAAATATTTCATTAGTTATTATGTATTAATTTGATTGGTTGAAGTATGACACTTCTACGTATTGTTAATTGTTTAGTTAAATCAAAATTGCATATTCTCGTATACAATGAAACTCATATTGTTAAGAGATTCTTTATGCTCCAGGTAATCGAAAGTGAGAAGTAGTTTTGACTTCTAATCCACTACGGTCCATTCAATTTAGCTGGCTATAACATTTATTTCAACGAGAGGAATTATACTACACTGTTCACTAATAACATTGGTAAATATACAAAGCAATCACTTTTCTAAAATTTAATTTTAAAACATATGTATGTATCAAAATTCACTTGGTGTTGTTTGCTTGTATCTTCCCATTGTTGTTTAGGACTGCGAATGATCAGTCTCTTGTTGGCATATGTGCGTCCTGCGCGGATCGCCTCGATATTGCCTTAAGTCACAACCTTTATAAGCAAAGATGGATAGTGGCTAAAAGTGGAACCCAGGATGCGCGTTTCGTCCTATCTGGGACTCGTCAGCTGGATGTACCTGCATCCCAGAGTTGATGTATCATATTTGGAAAAGATCTCTCTTAACTTGCATACATAAATTTGTAATATGGTAGTGCCCTACTACATATTGTTAACTAACCTTTTATTCAATAGGATTATCAATCATTTAAGTATATTTTTTATATGGAGTTTTTAACAAGATGGATATTATCTTTGATCGATTTATTTCAGTTTGTTTACTTTTTAATGTGGGGATATTATTCTAGGAGAATTTATGATATAATTTTATACTTCAATCTTAGTTTGTCCATAAATTCTGTCTTAATAATTTAAATGGTATACGTCTTGAGATACGGCTTTATGTGTATTACTTTCATTTATAAAAGACGAAAATGCCTGAACGGTTTCATTCATCCATATATTTTGTTCGATTTTTATCATGAAGCGGTAGTTAAGTGACTAAAGGATTTGAATCTCAACCAATAGGTCCCAGATTCATGCCTCAATTCACCTTCTTTGATTAGGGCGGTCGGGTAATGTTGCAAGTGCTCATACAAATGGTGCGGCTTAAAATCGAGTACATAAATGTGTACTCGGTGAATAAGTCGATCATCATAATAAATGCAACTTATCATGCTTCGGTACATGTTTACAATTTCTGGGTTGTATGAAGAAAAGATACCATTATGGAAAAGTATATAGATGGTATATGACTTTGCAAATCTTTTCATCTCAGCTGTAAAATTTTTTATCAATGAAATTGGTTTCGTAAAGAGCTTGACGAAGTAGGTTAATTGAAAATCTCGAGTTGTGTTATTACTGCTACTACAACCAATAATGTATCCAATCAAAATACTATTGAATATGTGAAATGTAATTTTGTTTGTAAATAACAGGCGTGTATCATCGAAAGTTGAAATATATCAAAAATGTTTTACGTTGAATGGTATTATTATTATTATTATTATTATTATTATTATTATTATTATGTTGATCATAATGATGATAATCTATGAAGCTGTTGAGATGAACTTGATACAGAAAATATTAAAAATATATCTGGATAGAAGTTATTTGCATTTTTCTTGCTAAGTTGCTAAATCATACAATCATGTTTCAGGCTTTCTTTCATCAATGGGAGTGTACGGATATTGAGTGAGGTCAACATGTTTTGTTGATTGAAATATATGGGTACAGTAAAATAAGCTTATTCACTGCACGAGAACATGCCCAGTACTGTTTGGTCCAAACACCATCACGTTATCCACTTAGCTAGGAAGAAACTCGTATCCCGGATCCCACTATTATCCACCATCCATCTCTAGTTATAACGCTTGTAACTTAATGACATTATCGAGGCAGTTCACGTAGGATGTCCATTTTCCAAAAGAGGTTGATCAATTATAGCCCTAAACATGAATAGGAAGATCCAAATAATCAATATATATGAATCAAAATTAATCCTGTTGCACAAGCCGGTGACTATCCGGACTCAGTAGCTAGGTGAATAACGTGATGGCATCTGATGTGAATGGTACAGGATCGACTCCCAGAATCAGCATCAACTCTGAGATGCAGGTACATTCAGCTGACAAGGGTAGAAATGCTTACTATGTTTTACTTAGTTTACTAACTCCACTTCATGTTTTATTGTTAGGATTCTGTCAATCAGCACGGAACACTAGGTAAGAATGGGTTTCTTCCAGAGAGAGTGATCAATGTTCTCAGCTGTTTAGAGTAATATGTGGTTGCCGCCAATTGTTAACGCTGATGTTTGATTTCGTATAATTTCATAAGCATACGTTACCAAATATTCCCAAGTCGAGATAGAAATAGCTGCACTGTTTCCTATAACTTCCAATAATTCATTGACTAATATCTCGGTTCGAAACAAAGATCATGTTGATATTGCACTTATCCCTACCAAATTACACAACTACAACAGTAATTAATATTAGTAAATGTTACTGTACTTGTTAATTTATCTTAAAGTCTTTCATGTTAATAAATTTTATAAATGCTTTGAATTAACGAGACCATTTGTTTTGCTTCTTTGTCATCATGAAGAATTATACAATAATTATTGGAAGTAGGGAATCAGTTCTGTCGCTTATTGACCTCTCTGATTGTCATAAAATTCGATAAATAGTCTTTTCATGTAAACATTTAGTTATTGTCATTGTAATTACATTTGACTGTCGATTCGCTTGGTCTGATGAAAACACTGACTGAGCTTTTCGGGTAGCCGATAACTTAGACGTGTGTCATTGACTGGTCACTAAGTAATGACCATTTTTGTGTGTTGTGCTGTCTGCTGGTCAAATTATAATTTCCTCGCCAAAATTTTTTCGGCAATAAAATACTAGACAAACATGACATTGGTCACCATCCAGTGATCAGTCACTTATAGAAATGAAGATTTGAATTCAAACCGTTTAATAATATTACGATTTGATGCATTTTAATTTTTGTTTTCATTAAGAAAATAATAATAGCACAATTCTGAAAACTTATACACATGAATATATATCTATTTCGTAATCAAATTACCCGATCGCTCAAATCGTATTAGTTCGATGAATTGGTTTCAAACCATATAAATCAATGGTTTGCTGGAGTTTGAGTACGTAAACCAATGAATCATAAGACAATTATTGTAATTTGTAATAAATAATTTATGCTAATACACAGCAAAACTAATTTCTATAAAATAACCACCTACTAGTTTAAATTCTCTCTTAAAAGTACAAATTTCACATTGTTTTACAAAGTATAATGTTGAGCTAACGTTTTTCTCGTTTCGGTGGTTTTTTAGAAGAAAAACTTTTGTATGATATTGTTGGTATTTATGTATGCCCCTCAATGGTTGCATGTGTGTGTGTTATTGATTTCTTTTATTAAATTCTATTTGAAGTTGACTATTAGTTGTCAATAAAAATAGTTGAGTTCCGTTCTTCCAAGTAGCAAACAATATAGATTTAAATGAAGATATATTATCATGACATACTGAGAAACAATTACGACATCCCAAAGTTCTCAATGCACTCTATGCAATTACAGACCATTTTATATTGCTGTCAGTATTAGTTGTATTATTATTATTATTACTATTATTATTATTATTATTATTATTATTATTATTATTATTAGTAGTAGTAGTAGTAGTAGTTGAATGACCAATATCCTAATTGAAAATTCAGTTTAGATGTTTTTGGGAGCATTGAATCCAATTGAGAATATTAATTAGTTAGATCAGTCAGTCAGTAACAACGTAGAACTTCGTACGTACGTACATCAGTTCGAGTTACCACACCACATTAGCACAGAGATGCAGTGGTCGATTCAAATCCCGTAGTGGTAGAGGTAGCAAGAGTATAAGCACTAATCGGGAAGATTAGGGTTTGGAGGTGTTATTTAAAGAGTATAATCCAGTGAAATAAATTTGGAAAGAGGAAAAAAGGGACATGAAGAATACAGAAGATTAGAATTTGGGAGAACACAAAGAGTGGATGCACCTGCGCCATTGCAAACGATTTTGAGCCATGTCATTCAGGGTCTCTAACCATCGGTTGCTCTCATCTCGTGGTCCCTAACCAGGTAGTCTACACCTACCAACATGACTCAGTCCACTTGTCAGTGACTTCATGGACTTGTGCCATGTTTTGGTTTGGCCGCCCTAGCTTTCTTCCAACCTACTCCTATACCACTGAACATAGCACGTCGAGGCAGTCGGTCGTTGGGCATACGTAACACGTGTCCCAGCCATCTCAACTGATGAAGTTTCACTACTTCACCAATTGATTTGCCATCCTTACCTAGTACGCGTTTTCTAACAACTGTGTTACTTACTCGATGGTCCCATGATATACGAGCAATGTTTCGAAGACACCTATGATCAAATACTAGTAACCTACGGATATCCTCTACTCTTGCCGGCCATGTTTCACTGCCATAAAGTAGGACGGAATGATCTGCTGCGCAGTAAACCCGTCCTTTGGTTGATAGACGGATATCTCGCCTACGCCATAAATGACGCAAGTTGGTAAAAGCTAGTCGAGCCTTCTGTATCTGTGCTGAGATTTCGTCACACACCAGACCACAAGGGCTGATGAGACTTTCAAGATAAGTGAAGCGGTCGACATACTCAACTACTTCACTCCCTATCACTAGTTCGGGTGTCGATGTAACCCAATCCTGAAGCAACATTTTGCATTTCGAGGGAGAGAATCGCATCCCGAACATCAAATCCCCTCATTCTTTGTTTTGAAGGTTACTTTGATGATTCTGGATTCATGAGATTTTCATCTTATAGGTGGTTCTTCATGACTGGAGTACAACAACACCTCGCGAATCTAATTCTTTCTGTCCAGCTTGTGTTTAATGGGCTGTACTTATTCCGAGAACTGCCAAGTTGTATCTTATCATTTCCGTAGCTATTTGACTTGTCCTCTCTGTCTCCCACATTGTCCATGTAACCATATTAATAGTTTTTCTGTTTCTCAGAAGGAGCATCGGCCTCGTGACTTCCGAGGAATTTTGGCTTTTACCATGGGCCATCGTCGTAGTTCCTTTTAAAATATGAAACTTCTACTTATTATGCGTTCTAATCCATTTAACTGTAGAGTTAGTAATTTTAAACCGATTACCTTATTTTATGATTTGAAAATTTCAAGTATTGGGTTGTAGAGATTGTTGGATTTCATTGAAATCATGAGCCGATCAATGCTAAACCACCACTGAAAAACTGGGAGCACCGGACGGTCTCTTCGTCCTAGTATGGGACTATTCAGCAGTGCTCACCCACGACCCCATACGCGGGAATTGAACTTTGGACTTTCGGTCTCGAGCACAAACGCTTAACCTATAGACTACTGAACCTGTATACAACGGTGTTCAAGTTTAAGCTCAATAAATTCAAGAAGTCGCGCGACCTCGCGTACATGGTCGTCGATGTCCACTGTTTGGGAGTTCCATATTAGAACGAAACGGATGTTCATAAGGCAATCCTTAAGGTTTTCATTGGTGGTCTAACATTGATCGGCTGATGATTTCATTAAAATTGAATAAATATGATTACTGTCAACATGTCAATCATAAAATTGTTGAAAACGTATAGGTTTTTTCTTAGATGAGATAATAGGGTTGTTATGGCAATTGTAGTGTGTTTGTGTGTATATGTTTTGTCCATGTGTACATTCGTTCTTGATTTAAAGAAAAACATCGATCGTAGTTAAACAAGGTTTCTTGGGACTAAAAAAACACAAGTTTAAGTTGAGAATTCAATGGATACACCTAATTATATACAAATAATTAATAGTTCAGTGTAAGTTTTGTAACCACAATAATAATTAGCTTGTATTTGTGATGAATAAAAGTGACTGTGGTAAATAATAAATAGCATGACATTTATAGGCTTCCTTAGATCTGTTCTGCTGATGAACGTTTTTAGAGCAATTTTTATATCGGTGTCCGATAATGTTAAGTTATATGTATTGCTTGGATAACCGTAATCAGTAGTTGAAGATGTTGGTTAACATGACTCAGAATCGTTCACTGTGGCGGAGATGCATCCACTGTATGTCTTCTTTTAGGTATTCAGTTTCACAAGTTACTCTACACATAAGTATTTGCATTCCTTCTCGAACAATATTCTCAGTGTTTTTCTTCATTATGACTGATATTACATTTATTTAGAAAACTTTGGTATTTATCTTGTTAATTTTGCGTTCTTGTGGTGACTTGATACTGGTAGGTAAAATAAACACAAATTTGTTCCAGATTGTACGTAGATTATAACCAATGTGATTGATAAACTAACTTATTTAAAGCTGGATGGACTCAGTGAACACTGAGTGTTTGTAATCAACTTAAAAATGAAATTCATGTCAACATTGTATCACTCATTGAGCATTTTCTTACTATTAGTTCCGATCGTCCTATTTTCTTACTTTGATATTTATTTGTTTATCCTCAGTTATTTGCTTTCTGTGTTTCCTCTTCCTTTTTCTTAGTTACTTAGCTTTAATGTTGATCAGTTGTTATTTTTTCTTAAACATTAATTAATGATGCGTGGTGCTTGCTAACCGACTCGGGGATTTATAAACTAATCATTTTAAACGTTTAATAATTTTTAGAGAGCACCATTTTAGTCACTTTTTGTCTACACACTAACCTTCATAAATTTCTACATTTAATGATGAGACTTACTATTCTTTCATGTAGATTGACATTCAAACTTAGTGAATAATTCATTTGTTCATCAGATAAATTTCTTATTGCAAAATTACACAAACTCAGTATTTAGGAAGGATAAATTTGTCAAGTTCTTTCCAGTTAGTGCAGTATAACACTTGTGTTGATATGCTTAGTTGTCAAAATCTATCTTGATATTGTAAATTTCTTGTCATGTTTTGTGGTGGAATTTCTGTTTGGCCCCTTGAAAATGTTAAATCAGTGTATGAAGTCATTAATTATCAAGTCTGAAATGTACAGAAAAGTTCAAATTTTTTGCTCAGTATCTTTTCGTTCTTTTTAAAATAACATTTCTACATTTCAGGTTGACACTCCGATCCTCACTTCAACAGATTGTGAAGGCACTGGTCAGATGTTCCAAGTTCAAGCACCTGCGCTTAATGAGACTAGAGAATCCGATAGTTCAAGTATATATTTAACCGGTAGTGCTCAGATGCATTTGGAATCTCTTGCTCTGGGTTTAAGTAAGGTGAATAAAACTCACACGTTCTATTTCGTGACATTTTAATCTTGCTGTTATACGTTCTTGTTGGTATAATTTTCTTTGTTAATGATTACTGTGATAAATTCCCCTTTACTTGCGGTTTAAACTGTTTTATCTCTGTTTTGGTTCTATCAGCCCTAATGCTATGAGTGATAACCTTAATGGGAATATTCTTTACTGCTTTTTATCAAATATCTGGATGCCAGCTCATACCGTAGAGAAAGCTTATGACCGCATTTATTTTACTATTCGTAAATTATCTTTTAAAACTTGTCTCGATAGGATATTTGATTAGTTATCTCTTTATATTACTTTTGCATCGCTTGCTGATGAATATAAGTTTGAAGAATCATTAAATTTTCTTTATTAAAATTTGATCCAACTTGCTGATTTTAAGTCGACTTTTGCTATAATGTTGTTCAGTACATGATATAAAAGTGGTAAATCATTGGATTATTAATTTAAGTTATGGGCTTTGCTGTTGATCGTGTCCCAACCAGTGATTTACGGAGTATTAACTTGATACTCTGTCAATCAAGCTGTTATCAAATTTCTAAAGAAGTTAAAATTTTACATTATTAATCTTGCTTTACCATATTGACTTTGATGTTAAACGAGTAGCATCATAGTAACAAACCAGTTTGGAATTTCACCAAGTTTTTACTATTTTTTAGGTGTAAGATTTCATTTGTTGTAGATCTTGTAGTTTATGTTATTCAATAACAAACCGGTTAGTTGAAGCTTACTATCTAATTCCGTTTCAACATTGTGCTCCATGTTTTTACCAAGCCACATTTTGTTTACTTAAATATGTCTGCCTAATTGATTATATTCTAATAGTTTAGTTTATAAGTTAATTCGTTGTTTACTCATGGAACTATGAGATTATAAGTGTTTCTAATGTTGTTATGTACTTCTTGGTCTTAAAAATATCAGACCATTTTGTGATTATGGAGAAGATTTTGAGCTTAGGGAGAGGATTTTGAGTGAATTTTGTTCTCTGATCTGGATGTTTTATCCTTGAAGTTTTCATTACCTTTCTAGACAGTTTAATCCGGATATAATTTAAAAATAAACATTTATCATAAACGACACAATTTCGTCTATAAACTACCAAGGGTATTACTGTCATCGGAATGCGGCTCAACCTAAGTGTCCATCCGTTCCATCCGTAACCTTGAAGTAATGTTAATAGACTGTACACACCCACTGAATTTGTATATGATAATCTGAACTGTTTGTGTCTATTTATCTTAATTTCTTTCAAGTGCTTTCCGCAAAGGTTTCATTAATTCGGAAGTATATAAATAATCTAGAACAGACGATGAGCAATAAATTAGTTTCCCCCTTTTTTCTAACTACTCAACAGCTTTCGCGGGAAATGCATTATGATGTCGAATCTAATCACTGATACTACTTCAAACTTGTTATTCATCTTAATAACTTTATCTCGCTCTACTGATATAATGCGACAACTCTGGTCGACCTATAGTAATATCAGTTGAGTGGACTAATAATTGCCTAATAGTTACTTTATATGGATGCTGTCCATCTATTTTACCGTAGGCTTTTTTGCGTGAACACTGAAAGGGTGTTTTTCAACTCATGTTAAACTTTTCACCATTTAGGTTATGTAGATAAATAACAACTGTCGTATTTTTGAAAAAAACCCTGGGTGACCAGTACTAGAGATCCCCCTCTTTTTATTTCATGACTCTTTAGTATAAGTCTTTTTTGATTTTATATTTGTCCGAATCTGGTATCATTGTCTCATTTGACCAGCAATTTATTAATTAAATAATCTGTGACGACGGACCACCGGTGAACTCGAGGAAGCTGTAAGAGGCTCAGAAGGAGCCGAAGACGTCCCATCCAATCACCTTTCGGAAGAATGTTCTAGAGTTCCAACGTGTAGCTTCCAGATTGGATAATGCTAATAACCCCCTGTATGCGGTTTGGAAGACTGTAATGATGATTTCCTCACTAAAAACTATAAATACTTGACACTTTTGTACTATGATTGACACTGTTTGGAATAATATTCCTTTCGTTAGTCTTCTGTCTTCTTATTGCAACTTGGAAGGGTTTTGCTGTTCTAGTGCTCTGTTATACGCGGTAGTATCAAGAAAAATCAACTTTTCAAGATATAACATCTGGCGACGGGGTAGAGAAAATTTTGAACCCTGTAATTGGACGAGATTCAGCATAATTATTTTGACCAATTAGTATCCAGATTTGTCATCGGTGTTCTTGGAAGTCATTGGTTGTTAATTGATTACAGTATTTCTCATTACCCTTCTGATTCAGAAAATGACTATCCTTCCTGATCAATTGCAGCTACTACTTGATCGCCAGCAGCAGCGTTTCAGAGAGAGCCAGTTGAATGTTTTGGACTATTTACGCATGCGACTGCTAAATCTCCCATGTTCCGGAGATGTGAAAAGAATTAGTGAATTGATTTCTCACTTGCATACTGAACTCGAAAATGACTGCAGGACGTATGAATATGAAAACAAAAGCCTCTATGAATCCCTGATGATCAGTAATGCAAACGAGGCAGTCGCTCATGATCCGTCCAGCGATTCAGAAATGTCCAGTCCAGAAGCATGCTCTGTCGTGGGTTCAAATCCCACTGTGCCCGAAACATGTACAGACAGTGAGGCATCCAGCTTACAAGAAGAACCTCTCGTGCCAGAAAATGTGTCCCGTGCATCAAATAATGGTCAAAAATCTAATACGAGTTTCAAAGATGCTGTTTATTTTAGTGATCTATTATCCACTAATGGAATTTTGAAGAGGTCTGATGAATATGTTTCACAAAAATCAAAACTTAATGACCTCATATCTAGTGTCGCTGATCCTCATCGTCTAGTCAGTTCTAGTGGACCCTCTACTCAATGCGGGAAATATGCTTTAAATAGAATCAGACTAACTGTTACTTGGGTATATGAGGACCCAACATTATTTCGCGGGGGAGGACGGACGCAGAAAATTTTAGAATCCGGATATCAACTCCGGAATTTCAAAAAAAGGGGGAGGTGTTATGGATGCAGAATAATATACCAATAATTATCGTGTTAAGTCTATGGTGGCCTTGGATTTTAAATGTACATCCCCTATTGGCTGTTATTTAATTCATTCGTTACATATTGTGTAAATGTTGTTTTCTATTTTATGGTATGATGTGGTTGGTTTGTTTGGGATATAAATAGAGTATGTCTGAAATACAATGATTCATAACTCAGAAGCTGTGACTTGCGTTCTAGACTCAACTGGCTGGGCTAGACAGGGAAGTGGGACCAATCGGGACTCTAGGTCGTCCGTACGTGTTTACGTGTCATTGTCACCGAATCGGTCAATAAAACGCTGCTTATCAAACCTGCAGTCACCCGTTACAACATAACCAATTAAAATTTAATTGATTAGATTTTCAAATTTGAGTTAGTTTGCAAGCAAAGTCGACGTGTTGTTGATGAAGATTTGTCCTCATTCATGATTCGACTGAACTGACAAGTTACTATTATTAAAAAAATTAGAGTATCTATAGTAAATTAATCCGTAGATGAAATCTTATCTAGCCATTAAACTACTATGAAAACTACTAGTTGCCAAACTTCACTATCAGGATCCTTAACAACACAAGGAGTTCTTTCATAATATACAATTTTTAAATCTGAAGAACCCCACTTATTACTAACTGAATGAAAACTTCTATCAGTACGTACTTTTGAAGATCTTTTTAAATGCACCATTTTAACACTATACAACCTTCTCCAACTATCATGATCGCAAATATATAATTATTAATAAACCACATACCATACAAGCTTTTGACAAAATTTAAAATCTTTATATGAAAATAAGAAGAGAAGAAATCAACTAAAGCATAAAGTGATGATCTATGTTGAAAGCGAACTAAAATGTAAACAAACTTCAAAACCATTTATTGCTACCTGTTACGTTATCTAGAATTACAGATATTTCAAAAATAAGTACTTTTTCTTTATTATACACTCAATGATTGTTTTATTAATTTATTTTTCTTTATATTCAAAACAAATAGGTTTATACATTGAATCCAACATTTCGAGCTGAGAATTCAAGTACAAGACATCATCTTGCAGAATTTTACATGCTTGAAGCAGAGTCAATTTACTTAGATAATATTAATACATTATGTAGAGAAATTGAAATGTTAATTAAAAAGATATTAAATGAATGTTTAGAAATTTATCCTATCTCAGGATGTAATGAACTCAATGCATTACAGGTAAGTTGATTTCATCCAATATGTATTATTTATTAAATGAATAAATAAAAATATTTGGCGGTTATATTAAAAAAATTTTCCAACTGTTCTAAAGTAATTGCTTTCTTATAAACTTTTATAGTTAAATGATTATCTTTTTCATTTTAAATTGTTTAAGATTAAAAATTAATAGTTTTGCTTTACTGATAGCAATTTTGTTTAAATCATGAATTGTCTTCTATTCTGATTGTTTAATTTCATCTTAATTTAGGACATTCTAACGAAAATTCTTGATCATGACACAAATGAGAATCACTGACACTATTGATTAACCGTTCAGTTATTAAAACCATTCTTTTTTTTGTTCAATAAATTTATATACATACAATTGTTTCCCCTTCAATAGAAAAGGATTATATTATTACTGTATATTTTCCATTGTTTTTAGTACAAAAACACCTTTGAAAATTTCTTTATTTCTTTATTGTTCTCAACTCAAGGAATTTACGACAGTTCTTAAGTTCTATCTGGTCAATTCATTTTTATTATGTATAAAATCTACTTTAATTTGTAATTAATAATTATATATACATATATGTATTCTTTGTTTCTCATTATGTTCCTTCTTTTATTATTGCTAGTAATAGGTTATGTTTTTTTTAAAGGGGAGATTTATTAGTAGCGCTATGCTTTATTGGTTTCAGCTAAGTTAAAAGTTAATAATTCAGCACTTCCTACTTTTGCTGTTTTCCACACATAATAAATAAAAATTGCAGCCTAGTATTAAAACACGTAGTTGAGTAGTTTAAAGAAATCTTTTTCAAAGAATTATTGTTCGATTTCCTGGGTAGTTTAAATTATTGAGTTCGATCTTATTATTCAGTGATTAAAACTAAATATTTGTTTATTATTAACAATTGAGAATAAAATACAAGCCAACAATATTACAAGACTTATCTGTAACTGCTACCTTGATACAGCAGCTGAAGTTGTATTTTATGACTTTTCGATTGAGTTACTTATTTCTAGTATACTTGTTATTTATGCTCCAACTAGGTCAAATAAGTGGTTTGTAGAATGGTAGTATGAGACTCAGCAAATCTTAGAACGTATTGCATTGTTTCGGTAATGTACAGCCCTTTAAGTTAATGATTTTTTTTCAAAAATCGTTTTCAAATCAAAACACTTTTGATATCCAACATTCCTACTGTCCGGCAATCCTATCAAAATCTTTAGTTCAATGAAGATTAATTATACAATGGTTACACAGAAAAGCACTTCCTTGTCAGATCACATAATCTTTTCTGGATGTGCAGTTTTAAGTGAACTAATTAATTTCCAATCATTTATTCTGGTCACCACTTTTGATTGGATCTGTTGATAACAGTTTCCGTTACCAAATACGTAGAAGTAGATCTATTTCTATTTTTTTTTACTAATTGGGTAATTCTGATTCATGCATTGAACCTGTGAACATACTCTGATTAACCATAAAGTGCCGTTCTCTAATAGAATTTGCATTGCTGTGATGGACATTTCAAAATGTTGAACAATTCTATTGAATGAAGTGAACGTGAATTTGTTTATTCTTTTATGATTAGTTTATTTAGTTAACTTAATCGTGAACGGAGTAAGACTTATTCAATAATGTTCGGCTTCAGTCTGTACAACAGCATCTTCAAATGGTTTGAATTTCGTAAAAAAAAATAGAGATTCCACACTTCACATGGTTTTCTCGTTTCATATCTCAGAAAGTGTTTAGCATGTATACAACAATTTCTGTGTAAATTACTTACCCGAAACTAATTATTTCGTTACATACTTTACCAGTTTGCATTTATCTATTAATTGTTCATTCACCTTTATTGTTCTTCGTTTCTGTGAATAACCTTGAGTGTTATTATTGTTAGTGCGACCTTCACTAATCATAAACGTGTATACTATAAGAAGTAAAAGCCTTTTTTTAATCTTTATTCGATCTCTGATGGATTTCTTCTAATGATGCTTAAATGATATTCTAATTCCTTTATTATTATTATTATTATTGTTAAGTTAATCCGTATAATTAAATGTTTAAACTTTATTTCTGATCATTTTCAATCGTTCAATAGTGAAGTAGTTTTTCTTTCCTACTAAGCTTTTTGTATATTCTAATCATTTGTATAGAAATCTTCTATTATTTACACTTATGAAATTCATCCTTCCTCATTATTACATTAGTCAATAATTAATTTTTTGTTTATCCAATACACATATACATACTTGTGTATATTTGTACATAAAGTTGTAGGCATTTGTAAATATTTGCATGTAAGTTTCTAATGGGAATAGGTAGTATTTCTTTGTTTCATGCTTTAGAATAATTTCTCTATTCAAGTAACAATACTATTAATAGTAGTATTTTATTCTCATAGAGCCGATGTTTAAAGTATCTCACATGCTTCATAGTAATTCTGTAATAATTAAGACAAATGGGATGAAAAGAGCAAGAGAATTCACTTGATCCAATTGTAGATTATATGTTTTACAATTTCACATGATTGTATAGTCTAATTATCCTACTACTCAAAGCTTATTATCAATTATTTACATGATAAGATGTAGTTTTTATTTCTTTTGTAAAAAATTTTTAAAAAAATATTTTGGTTATTTTATGCATTTTGTAGAAAACAACTAAATTCACATGGTTTCATTTTTTGTAACAATGGAATTTATAGTATGTTTTGAAATTGACGTTCATTTTAATGAAAGAGTATTTGTTTTGTTAGGGTTTTTTTCAATTCCATGATTAATAGTGACAGTTAATTACCAATTTATAAAATGTGTAATTTTAATGGATTTATGCATATTTAAGGTTAGTTTTTATATGAAATTCAATATTGCAAGTTTATATTCAATGAATAAGTACTAAAATTAATTTTTACAACTCGTAGCTTGGAAATAAAAATCATTCAATTATCGTCTATAACTTTGCAACTTCGAATTGTGTAAATTTTTTGTTTGGATAGCTTAGTAATACTTCTTTCTAACTTTTATACTTACGGTATGGCTCAAATCTCAATACGAACAACCTGTACTCCGCTTGAAAAAAATGTTATTGTCTAGATTTTTACTGTGTTGTATATATAGTTCTTCAATAGTACGCGTTAAATATCAGTCCTACTCGACAAACAGGTTTGTCTTTGCATTATCAGAATGAATGTGATACTATTCAGTAGAAGTGATGATTTTCATAGTGCAGAATAATCTCAGGCTATAATTTATGGATCACCTTTGAACGAAGCTAGAGTGATCTTGAGAGTGTTTATCTACTTAATAGAGCTAAATAATTGTTATAAACCGATATGAGGTCTAAGGATTATGATTTACCGTTGATAATTAGGGTTAGGAATTAGATTTAGGGTTTTCATCATGAACTGACATCAGCTAAAATGACAAAATGCCATTTAGCCAAATTTATGAATCGATTCTCACCAAAATCTAATACTTGTTATCCTAAGTTTGACTGGTTTCGTCCTTAAATTGTAATCTCTCCAAATAATCTATACTTAATCAGAGTTTGGTTTTCAAACTGCTTGATTATTATGTATTTTAATCCGAATGAAATATATACGAATAAGGTTACTATCGATATGTCTTTTGCTTCTATTATTTATGTAGTCATATTTTATATAAACTTCTCTTACATAGCTTTTATTGTCTTTTTCGTATAAAATGTAACGATTTAGTTCATCTTCAGGAATCTAATAGTACACTTTTAAATTTAATATTATTTTTCGATGACCTCTTAACGGAAAAATCTAAATGTATGAATATATTTACTTTAAAGTGTAAATTTGAGTGAACCAATTACATGAAACTGACTTTAGCATAATACAAATGTAAGATATAGAGAAACCTAAAAACCGGTTAATCTGGCTGCAGGATATACATATATATGCATTACGTAATAGTAAAACTTCGTCTCTTGATTATGGAATTGTTATTGTAAGAAATTGTGTACTCTTCCTTTATTTCGTGCTATTCTTCTCTAGATAGAAAGATTAAACCATAAATTGTGAATTATATGTAAGAAACTAAATGTTGATTTCCTTCTCCGGTTATCTTTGATAATAGTCAATAGTTGCGTTAACCATAGGAACATCGACTAAATTTCCATTGCTACATCTATCATTTATTTTTTTCTAATTTGAAACGTTTCTGTTCCTGAAATAAGGATCTACTCATATCAGTTTCTAATTTTGTGCATGCTTTGTACTAATCAATTAAATATGTGTAAAACATTATTGCAATTTTTCATCAATTTATACTAATATACACACTTGACTCAAAAGGTGTATACAGTTCACAAAGAGGACTTTAAGGTCTTTGCAATGCTGATTTTTTATTGATTCCTATCTTCTATCCTTAGATTTTCTTACTTTTCAGAATGATTTAGTGTTGATTCGAACATTCCTTGGAAGTCAATCTGAATCTGATGGCCATTCCCAAAGTTTTCTAGTTGATTCTGCTCTGGAGCTCAGAAATGTTTTGGAAACAATGCTGAAACAACCGTTTGTTTGCATTTCATATTCTGAAGCCATAGAGTACTTGAATAAAGAAATGGGTACAGCTGATCTTACTATTTCGAAACCTCGGGATTTGAACAAAAAAGAGGAGTACAAAATCCTAGATTGGGTTGGCGGGAATCGTCCTGTCTTCATTACTCATTTTCCCATGGAACTTAAACCATTTTACTGTCAGTCAATTAATGGTATTGAAGCTGAGTGTGCTGATTTGTTATTTCCAGGGATCGGCGAACTAGTTGGCGCCAGCGTCCGTGAGAATGTTGCTTCTCGTTTACAAACACGCATGAAATCCAATCAATCGCAGTGGTACATTAATTTACGTGGTACTGGTAGTGCTCCCCATGCTGGTTTTGGTCTTGGCTTCGAGCGTCTTATGCAATTTGTTTTGGGAATAGCTAACATTCGAGATGCAATAGCATTCCCAAGAAATGCCAATAAAATTATTTTCTAAAAAAGTCTTTTACTTTAAAAGCTACATATTGATGAATGTTAGGTGTTAAAGTCGCTTCCAGTTCCATATTCAGTTAAACCAGACGGTTATTATTCGCTATTGTCAGACAAAGTTCAAATCATTTTTCTATGTATAATAATATTGTGCCTAAATTTTGCTAGGTACTTCAACCGAATGCATCGAGCCGATTATTTAGTTCCAAAGAGGTAAGTATAATTTAACTCATATACGAGACATTGTGGGAGTTTCGGTGCTGCAATTCATCATAAGGAGAAAACACCGATGTGTTTTTAATCAGTTTGTCCCAATCCTTATGCTCTTATTTATTCAAAGCTACAATATTCAGATGTTTTGACGTAGAATGTCCGTTTAATTTTATAGGATACTATATAAAAGTACGCTTTATCAATAGGATTTGAACTATAGTAACCACCTAGGTTAATATTTATCACTATTAAGGAATTGGGTCCACTCGAAACCCTAAAACCTCAGTGAAGTGTGTTTTCAAGTCTTTTATGGAATGTGTGGCACTTCAGAGTTGTTGATGTTTCGTTCCTGGGTAGAAATTTTAAAACCAGAACTTTCATTCGATTGCGCTCATCAGCCCAACACTTCAAATATTATAGTTAGTTATTAAAAGGTATAAAATTATTGGTGCAAAGAACGTTTTGAGGTATGATGCTGTGTTTACATTTTGGATATCCAAGTAACTAAGATACACAACTTTCTGCTGGGTCACAGGTCAAGTCATATCGGTCAGCTTTGGTTCGAACGACTCTCATAAAAACAGTGTAACTTAAAACTGAGTACATAAACATCTACTAGGTACATAAATGATATGACAACTAGCACTTAGTGGCTAGTCGTCATTTATCTTAAATAAATACAATGCACAGTTCCATTACGACCGAATAGACACTCAAGACATTAAACGTTAAGGCTGCGCTCCTTACTTTCAAGCCATGTCATTCTGACCTGATAATATCTAAGCCTGGTTTTGTTACTCAGAAGCTGACTCCCATAACTTCCATGACAAACCCAGTCGCATAATTCCCCGCAGTAGTGATCGTACTACCGCGCTGTTTAACAGGTACGCTACACTTAATATATTTGTAGTGAAGGAGAACACAGGTGAGGATAACTGAATTATATTTAGCACAACATTACAGAGTTACTTGGTAAAATAGAGAAACCATACTATAATACCTAATTTGCAAAATGTTCAATGGTTGTCTCGGACTTCATTGTTCTTGCATTTCTATACTAATTGCTTTCTATTACCGTTCTTCATTTCTTGATCTTCCCAATCTTCTGCTGCCAGACATTACATTCCTGACTCGCGTTATCTACTACTTATGTCAATATAAGTAGCACGAACCCAGTCGCATAATTTCTCATAGCAGCGACTGTACTACCGCGCTGTTTAGCAGGTACGCTACACTTAATATATTTACTAGTGAGATTTCTGAAGCTCACAGTAGCTTGAAAAGGGCTATGCCGAAATGCGTAGACCTGACCAGTCGACAAAACAAAGATGAATAGTAGCTAACAGCGTGGGTTTCGTCCCATTTGGAACTCGTCAGTTGGCTGTACCTGCATCCCAGAGTTGATGTTCACTCCGGGACTCGAGCCCAGTACTGTTCACCTCCAACGCCATCGCATTATCCACTTAGCTACTGATTCCTGATAACTACCTGCTTGCGCAATGGGATGAAGTTTGAATTCGCTAGGTGTTGTTTTTCTTGTATCTTCCCATTATTATTTAGGACTGTAATTGATCAGTCTCACGTCGGTATATGTGCATCCTGTGCGGATTGCCTCGATATAGCCAATACACTATGAACTCAACTCTGGGATGCAGACACATCCAGTTGACGAGTCCCAAAAAGGACGAATCGTGCATCCTGGATTCCAATGTTAGCCACCATCCATCTTTTCTTAAAAAGCTTGTGACTTAAGGCAATATCGAGGCAATACGCACAAAACGCACATATGCCAACATGAGACTGATCAATTGCAATCCTAAATAACAATGGGAAGATATAAGTAAAAGAACACCAATCGGCAAAGTTTATAACAGCTACTCCACAATAGACGGTTGCAACACAACTCGGTGACAGCGATGTTGTCACGTATGAGAGAGCTCATTAGCCAAGAAAAGTTTGACAAGGACTTCTTTAGATAACTTCTTACCAAAGCTTTCTCAACAGATGTAAACGTTCTCGTTTCATTCCGAAGTAACGCTGTAGACGAACTGGCTTCATCTGAAAATCGTATTGTAGAGATCATTAGATGACCGCAGCATTAATGTTTATTTTGTCAAAGAAAAGCTTAAGACGATATAAAAGAATATAGCAAATCTCGGCAACACTGTAACTTATTATCGCGATATTCTTTATAATCACACGCTCCAAATCTCTCCAAAGACGTCCGTCGCAAAACAAACGAATCGTTGAGAACGTTGAAAAAGCAGCATGTCATCTTACTAAGTGACTGGAAATTATATTCCTAAAAAACAATACGGTTTCTTAACGGATTGGTCGTGCATGATGTGGCATTTTGAGTTTACATGAAGGTCGTATACTCAAGAAGCGTATAACTCATCTTACTGTATGCATCAGGAATTAAACAAGGCTGCAGTATGGTGTGGAAAGTACCGACGTCAATTTAATATTCATAAATGCAGCTGGATTAACGTCGGATGGAGCAATATGGGACCTCGTTTTGAAGTTGATGGTATGCCAGTTTACAAATGTATTACTATCTTAGACCTTGGCTCAAGGTACTCAAATGACCTAAATTCCTAGGAACGAAAAACGTCAATCGGCTTAGAGGCACGTAAACATATGGGCTGTATAAATCACAATATCCACTAGTCTAGGCCAACGCTGTATTAAGTCTTTGTCCGCCCAGTGCCCGAATATTGTCCGTTTTTACTGAATGGTCTTCGTATAAGCTGGAAACTACAGAGGTTCTTCTCAAAAACGACTTTAGTAATGAATTACGATCAGAGTTACTTTGCACAGTGTGACACATTAGGACTGGAGCCTTTTCGAAAAAGACAGTTAAGCTTATTGTTTATATTTTAATCCAAGCTCGTCCACTAATCACCACAACCTTCAAAAACAATCATAGGCTAACCGATACGCTCAACTATAAACTAATTAACCATACTAGGTTAGTCAAAAATCAACAATGTAGATCTAATGTACAGTGGAAACTCTTCCCACATAAGTTTTCTATCGTTTGGAATAAACTCAGTTGGATTGTGCGTATACATACAGTAAGTCACTTTATTCATAATTTTAACTTATAGAGGAAACCAAGTTAATTGGTTAGCTAGTAGTGCACTCGAATTCTAGCGCTCACATGATGTGCAAAATAACCCTAGAAAACTTCGACACATTAATCAGTGCCACTAATCACCTCTTTAAGAGAGTTTTAAGTAACTGATTCATACTTCGCCCAAAAACCATATGAATAAGCACCATACCTATGATTAAGATATCAATACCAAAACGTCAGGCTAAGCAAGTAAATATATACTTCATAAACAAAAAGTCAGAGGGGTATGAAAAAAATATATGTTCTAAATTTACAATATGGGAATATTTCAAATTTTAAAAGTATATTTCATGAGGTATACCAAAATACTTTGGCTATGTTCGTACTGCACTATACAATAACCTTGAGTTTTGGGGAGACAACAAGCTGTATGTTACGTTTAATGATCCTGGTCTCCCAAGTCTAAAAGAATTTCGAGGAGTTTCCAAATGTTTATGCTCTCTATGCTTCGTCAGCAACACTCCTGACCCTTTGTACCGGTTATTCCTGCAGAAATCATAGATATTAGCACCAACTTTGCCCATCGCAACTACGGACCATGTGTCAGCAGTGATCCTGTCAAATCCATGCAAGTAACTGAACTTAAAAAACCATGTACATAATATCACGTCTGACAAATGAGTACACGATCTAAATTACATATCCAGAACACGACTCAAAAATACTCATTACTTCATTCCCTCGGTAGAAATCCTTTATACAACTAAGGCTGTTATAGCAGCTGCCTGGGGCTTGGCAGAAACATAAACTGCTTGAAAACTGTTTTCTGTTCTATGAATTGTATAACATTTGGATTATAGATTACCGAAATTTCATTTTTCCAACACAGCGCCCACATGACGCTCAATCTCTTACGCTATACACTTCAGTCCTATTTCAACAATATCTGTGTGTCACCATTTATATACAGCATGAGGAAAAATAGAGAATAGCATATCAGCTCATTGCTCACAAATAATCGCGGCTGAAATATTTTACGACCGAAACATTTGGCAAAAAACCAAACGAAATACATTGTTATATTGTGTAGGTTTAACATACCGTGATTCTATGTGAGTAAACGTTACGTACATAGTCCACCACCTCGATCGTATTAACGAGGCTGTGAGCGTAGATCACTTATTAGTTACACATCTTGTGGTCAGTGAAGATGGTATACACTGTGTTATGGCCTATTTTAATCTTTGGCTAATGTCAGGGGCGGCGAGCATGTTTTGTTATGAATGCGATTTGCGACTGAATGGTTCGCAGACTTCTTGCTGTCTGATATTTTACCAAATAAAAAAGGAACATCAGTGAATATAATTATACCAGGGTAGCCGTTGATTACAAAACGTTTACAAGGTCCTCTTACTTATTCTGTTGCATAATTTTGAGTGTGGAAAGCAAGATGGTGTCTTAGGGCTGTTAAAGCTGATAGACAACTGATTATCCATTTCATGTTGCAAAAACGTTACTGGATAAGGTTGGTTTTGTCCGTGAAAGACGACTGTCGGCATAACTGACCCACTAGTAATTGACCCCTACTTGGTTGAATTAAAATTTTATTTACTGGAGCGATTAAATAAGCAGTACGCATTGTATGCCACCCTATATGACGTTTTAATAACCTGTCTGTTGATGAGAATTTTTTATTCCTGGTGTTCCCAGAAAATAGCCGTTTACAGTTTGATGTCGTTTCTAAAACCACACTTCCTAGCAAGTGAAATGTTTGGTGTTCCTTAAGGAATTGTAGAGGACTACGTAATATCCTGTGCTCATCAGTAAGTTATTTTATTCTTACTTTAATCAGTCCCTAGTCCTTCTGGTTCGGTCCCGTTTTCTAATGTGATCAGTTTTCTGGATGATTAAAATGGCAGTTTTGACCTTGGGTTGAACTGACTAGGGACTACTGTTGCGCCATTAAAGCAGTCGACTACATTTCTAGACACCAGCTCACCTATGTATCTACGGTTACATATCGCTGAATAGGATACTTAAATATCCACCAGCCGATAAAAATTAACCTAAAAGAACGCACGCCGACCCATATAGTCGACATAAGGTTTGTA